CGTCTCCTTTCCTCTCTCTGAAATCAATAAAGATATATTTTAAAAAAATAAAAAAATAAAGTGTGGAAAACAACTTCCAAGAGAAGTGATTTATCCAAAAGGTCACACGGTTGTGGCAGAGGTGGGATTAAAACTCACATGGGTCAGACTACCAGGCCTGTGCCCTAACAGCACACCTGAAATACTCCCCAAGTTAACTGCTGCCAACAATTCTGTGTGCTATGTCCTATAGGAGCTAGGAACAAAATGGTGAGCAAACCCAAAGGCTCCCTGTCCTCTTGGAGCCTTTGTACACCGACAGTGTAGAGATGGGTGTTTATCAGCGAATCCCCCTGCAGACCGGAGTGACCAACCTGCAGCACTTGGAGCTTTCAGTGGATAAGGGGACCTGACCTGAGCAAGGAAGTCAGAAAAGGTTTCCTTGAGTGATGGCTGAACTGAGATAAGGGCTGTTACACATAAACCAAGGTATCCTTGAGACTGGAGAAACAGCCAGGGCAAAAGCCCAATGACAGAGACCATCTGGCAAAGATGAGGCATGAAAAGAGGCCAGTGTGGCTAGAGCAGGAGGGGAGGGGGGCATGGTGCACAATGAATCTATAACAGTGAGCAGCAGACTCTGAACTTTATGCTGAACAAAAGGATGTTGTTAGCAGAGAAAGGTACAGCTGTACGTATAAAAAACCCACAGGAGTTGGCAGGGACAGAGATGGATATAAAACAGTTAGACTGTTATTGTGTGTCCAAGCGAGAGGACACAGAGAAAAAGAGTCTGATTTGTGACACTTAGAGAGTAACAGAGATAGGTCTTGATGACAGCCTGGAGAAAAGGGGCGGGGGGAAGGTGTTAAAAACAAACTGGATAGCAACAACTGGATGGTCTTGCAAAACTGAATGGCCATGTCCCAGGGAAGAAAACATCCAGAGATGACCAGGTTGGTGGGGAGGGGAAATCCTGACTGTGGTTTGGACCCTGAGTCTAAGATGCCTGTGAGGCCTCGGAGAGAAGGCAGCTGTAGTTAGAGTCGGGGCTCAGAGAATTCTCAGCTAGACATCCAGGTATTTAGATGTCACACATGTGCATAAGCACCCTGAGGACCCCCCCAGGTAGTAAGGCTGGAGTGAAGTGGTTCACCTGAGCCTCAATAGTAGGAGGCACTCACGCTAACAAAGGGTCATATGAGGTTGTGAAATCTGGTTAATGGCTACTATCTACCTGTCCCATGATCCCAATTCCAGTATCTGGAAGGGATGGAACATCCCCAGCCTAAGGGATAGGGAGCTCAGGTGGAGCCAGGACTACCTCATTGGCCATTCTTTAGCCTGTGAGACCCATCTGGACTGTGCAGCCCCTCCAAGGGCACTCCCCTGCAGTGCACAGCTTCAGGTACCATGGCTCTCCCTTCCTGCCAGCCCTTACTCTACACTCTCTCGCTTAAGTGCCCAAAGCAAACAGTGTCTGACAAACAGTGGGGGCTAAAAAGTGAACTATAACTCCACTTTCCCAAAATAGGGTCCTGGGTTTGACCTGGGGGAAGAGAAATACAAGAGGGTTTGAAGAAGAAGAGATGTGGGAAAAGGAAAGAGACTTACACATTTTTAGCTCTGTCTCCACTTCCTGCTGTCGCCTCTCAATCTTTTCCCGTCTCTGTCAGGAGAAAGGTATACAATTAAACGCCAACAAAAGTGCCCTAATGTCAAGGAATATCGTGGAGAAAGGGGCAAAAAGACACAGGGCCAGGAGGCAAAAGTTGCATACCTTCCTCTCCATGCGTTCCTCACGAGTTTCTGCTCGTGTTGGGGGAGGGGCATCTCGAGGGTCCTGGGAAAAAGAAGAAAGGTGACAGGGTGGGAGAGACTAAGGGAAATAGTAAGGATAACCCATTCAGGAATAATAAACATCTCAACCGTGCATCCCCTCCTCCCACACATACACACAAGCAAAATAATGACAACAGTTGGCAGGCCAGTGGAGGCCAGGGAGTGGCATAGATCAGTGTGAAACATGGACCAATGCTATCAGCAAACTGTTACTGGTTTGTGACAAGAGAAGTACAGAAATCAGGAGTAAGTAGTATTCAGAATCTCTACAGCAATCTGACAGGGAAGTTTTTATACCTATAAAACTTAATAACTTTTATCTTCTATTTTGTAGTCTTTCATTTTTTAAATTTATTGATTTGAGAGAGAGAGAGAAAGAGAGAGAAGGGGGGAGGGAGGAAGACAGACATTGATTTGCTGGTCCACCCATTCAGGCATTCACTGGTTGATTCCTGTATATGTCCTGACCAGGAATTGAACCCACAAGCCTGGCACATCAGGACAATGCGCCAACTGAGCCACCCAGCCAGGGCTGTAGTCTTTAAAAATGCTAAAAAATAATGCTTTTGCGTTTATTGAAAGCATCAATCTCCACTGAATCTATCCTTTGTCATAGATTGGAATTGGGACCAGGCCTCAAGCAAAAGGACAGTGCAATGCTCAGAACAAACAACTGGACACCCTCTGGGACCAGGGCAGGTCTCATCAACCACTCATTAAATAGTAACTGGCACATGACAACATCATCGAAAGATGCCACTGGACTGTAGCCATTAAATTAGTTTAACTGGCTAATAACATTACCCAAGTTCACTGAGGGTGGCAAATCCTACTAAAGAGCCAATCTTCTGTTATCTCTCCACTAACAAGCTCTGCAACTTTCTCCGCCTCCAGCTGCCCTTTCCTCCTCCATGCAGAACTTTCCTCTTCCAACTTCTAGCTGTTTGCCAACATTTCTCAGGTGTGCTCTGATGCACCTTATGAGGTGGATGTTGTTACCCCAATTTTACAAAAGAAAAAGACCCAAAGACCCAGGAGCCTAAGCTGTGTATTCATGTTTATCCTAAAGATGCAGAGCTGAAAGTTAGCACCTATCACATGGTGCTAACCCTTTATGTACATCACCCTATTAATGTCAAAACTGGTAAGTAGACCCCTGGCCAGTATGGATCAGTTGATTGGAGTGCCATCCTGTGCACTGGAAGGTCACCAGTTTGACTCCTAGTCAGGGCATATGCTCGTGTTGCGGGTTTCATCCGGTCAGGGTGTACATGGGAGGCAGCTGACCAATGTCTCCCTCTCTCCCTCTCCCTTCCTCTCTTCAAAAAAACAAAAAGAAAAAGTAAATACGATAACAAATGTTGATATTTGCTGACTGCCAAGTCCCATAATACACATTGTGCAGTTAATTCCTCATCAATATTCTGAGGAAGATAATTTTATCCCTTTGCTAAAAATGAAGAAATCAACGCACAAGAGGATACACCACTTGCCCACGGTCACAAAGCTGATAAATGGTGTGTGTGTGTGCCAAGGACCACTCCAGAGCTGAACACTCAACTGCTAGTTACTGAATTTTTCACAAAAACCCTACAAGGGATACATTATCAACCCCGTTAAGACAGGAAAATTGAAGATCAAAAAGAATAAATCACCTCTCTAAAGCACACAGCTAAAAAATGGCCAGAGACTGTGGACTCCCAAATCCAGGATACCCTCCCCAACCCCAAGAACCCAAACCACTGAAGTCTGCTCAGTGAACTCACCTCAAACTCTCGGATGTAGGGCGCAATGCCACAGTAAGGTTGATTGTGGTGTTTTTCATGTGGCAGTTTCTCCAGGGGTGGCAGGTATGGGATGGGGTCCCGGGGAGCAAAGAGGGCCAAAAGGTTGGGTGGCAGGAACTGAGTCATCTTGCCAACTCTGACAGCAAAAGCGAACCGGCCTTATGTTAGGTTGGGCTGGTGGAGATGAAGCCTCTACAATCCCTTCACTCCCAATAGAGTAAAATAGAGGCAGAATCTCAGTATTAAAATAGGTTCTGTAAGGGCACAGAGTGATCCTAAGTCACAGATAAAAATGGTGAATCTGAATGAAAAAGCAACTTCTTGGGAGAGAGCTGTGTGAGGGTGAGGCAAAGCCTGTAAGGGGAAACAAAAACTGAAAAAGGGTTTCTAAGTAGTTAAGTCTCAGAGTCCTGAGCAAGGAGCTATGGGACTGAGAGGTTCCCTGGGGGCTTATGGGAGAAAATCAAGGAAACTGACGAGGGAGATCCAGAGCAGTGGTGGCTGGTGTCCCAAACCTTAGAGAACAAGGCAGGGGTCGCAGTAAGTCTCCGATAAACCGAAGAAGGTCGTCATTAGTTAAACCCTCCAGCCGGGGCCTTGTGGGTAATAGATCTAGGCCCCCAAAGGCGAAAGGAATTATGGGTAAGGGTCCAGGACGCAGAGGAAACGGGGAAGAAAAAAAGGCAACACACACCGCAAGGGCCTGTGGGTAAGGGGCCGCGGGAGGACTGTGGGAAGAGGGCCTAAGTGCCCGGAGGACTCTGGGTAAGGGGTGCAGAAAGGTGTGGTGGCGCGGGAAGGGACCCGGCCGCAGGGAACGGGGCCGGGACGTGGGGAAGGGACCCGGACCCACCGCAGGGGCTTGTGGGTAGCAGCCCCACACCCGGTAAGGCCACTCAGCCACACTCACCCGCCGCGCGGCGCCCTCCTCGACCTGGCGACGGTCCGGGGGCTCGCGGCGGCTGCGGCGGCCCCTCAGCAGCAGAGACTACTGCTCTAGCTTCGACTCCAGCGGCGTCCGCGTCCGCCTGCCTCCGTCGCCCACCCAGCGCGCGGACCAGGCCGCTGCTCAGGAGCCCGCGCGGCCTCGGCTCGCGACAGGGACAAGATGTGGAACCGGTCTTGAATCCCTCCGCCGCCGCACTACGCACGCGCCGCGCGAGTCAAGAATTACTCGCACACCGGGACTCGGCGCCGCCGCGTACACTGCGCACGCGCGCGAGGTCACTGCCCCGCCTTCGGGCACCTTAAACTGCGGCCGCAGCAGGCTAGAGCTCGCAGTGCGCACGCGCAGCCGCACCAGGCGCTCGCCCCTTCACCCCGCGATTTGGACTTCCAACCGCTTCTGTCCGCGAGATTCTCGATGCTCCGCCCCTTTTCCTACACTTCCCGTATCCTGCGCGCATGCGTGATTTTTCTAGTACTCTACTGTATCCGTCCGCCTTCCGGCAAAGAGTGCCTATATGAATAGAGTGACAACTTTGATGTCTCACCTATTAAATCAATAACTGTTCACTAAGCGCCTAATATATGCTACGCTGTGGGAATATAGCATCTGACTAAAGCAAAGTCTTTCTTGGAGCTTACATTGTATGGGGGGGGCAATAAAGGCAATTAAAGGAATAAATATAATATCTGATAGTGGCCTGCAAGATAAAGAAAAATAGAGCAGAGTAAGGGGGTGGGCATTGAAAGCGGGGCTATTTTATTTATTTATTTTTAAATATATCTTTACTGATTTCAGACAGAGGAAAGGAGAGGGAGAGAGAACCATCAATGATGAGTCATTGATCGGCGGCCTCCTGCACGCCCCCTACTGGGGATCAAACCCGCAACCGGGGCATGTGCCCTGACGGCAAATCGAGCGGTGATCTCCTGGATCCTAGGTCAATGCTCACCCGCTGACACACACGAGGCCCGCCTGGAAATTCTTTATGTAAAAACCGATTTGCCTCCGAAGCTTCTGGAACCGGATGTTTTTTTTTCTGTCGTTTCAGGGCGCTGAGGGAGAAAACCAACGGCAGAAGCTATGCCCGGAGGCAATATGGGTGGGTGGCGAGCCTCGGGCTGAATCGCAGAGGGCCTGGCCCTCTTCTCTTTGTTCACCGCCCCAGAGACCTAACACCTACCAAAGCCAAGCTCTCTACACCGGGGATGAAATACGTCTCTGGTGAAGGGACCCCGAGTCCCGAAGGAGCCGAACACCTGCCCCTGCGCCTCGGAGAAGGGAAAGAGACAAGGGCCGCTGCGGGTGCGGCCGCGGGACGCCAGGCGCCAAGGCGGCGCGAGGTCCTGCTCGGGCCGAGGGCCCGGGAAGGAGCCGGCACCTCTCCGCCTCCTGCAGCTCCCGCTCCTCGGGCTCCCAGTGGGAACGGGGTCCAGCTCGTGGCCGACGGACGCCGGGCCTGCGGCCACACGCAGCCAGCTGCGGCAGCGCGGGCACCCCGCCCAGCAAGAGGCTCGGAGCACCTGCCACGTTGACTGAACTGCCTTCAGCCCCAGGGTGTTTTCTTTTTTTATAAGACAGAAAAGATGTTAGGATAGAAAGTCTTATGACACAGTTGTCTGCTGACGGCAAAAAAGTTAAGCATACACCTATCATACCATCCAGAAAGCCCACTCTTAGCGACTGAGACCTGAAAACTGACGTTCACACAAAAACATGTGCAAGGATTTTTACATCAGCTTTATTCATAATCTCCACAAATGAAATGTAACTTAAACGTCCTTTGTACAGTGAATGGATAAACCAAAGGACATACATCCATGCCTTGGAATGAGTTAAGAAGGCAAGAACTGCCCGGCCAGTGTGGCTCAGTGGTTGAGCATCGACCTATGAACCAGGAGGTCACAGTTCCATTCGGGTCAGAGCACATGCCTGGGTTGTGGGCTCGATCCCCAGTCAGGAGCGTGCAGGAGGCAGCCGATCAGTGACGACTCCCTCATCATTGATGTTTCTATCTCTCTCTCCCTCTCCCTTCCTCTCTGAAATCAATAAAACATTTTTTAAAAAGGAAAGAACTACTGATACAGACACCAGGAGTGAGTCCTCAATGCATTATGCTAAGAGAAAGAAGCCAGATTCAAAGGCTACATACTTATTTCATTTTTTTCACATTCTGGGGAAGAAGAAAAAAACAAAAACACCAACTACAGGGACAGAGGGAAGGAAAACAGAACAGTAGTTTCCAAGAGCTGGAAGGAGGGACTGACTACAAAGGGAAGGAGGGGACTCTGGGGAGTGTCAAAACTATTTAGATTGCGGTGCAGTTACATGACAATATTCATTTGCCAAGACTCACAGAAGTGTACACTACACAGGGTAAATTTTATTGCATGTAAATTAAACCTTGATAAACTTGACGGAAGCAAAAAGATGGCTCCTCCAAACATTCATGAATTACAAGGGGGAAAAAAGAATAACTTTACAGTGGAGAAACCCAGCAGACACTACTCTGAGCAAGTGATCAAAGTGAAATCAGCTGTGATGAGACATATCAACCTCATGCGCCCAACAGGATGTGATAAGAAGGGAACTTTGCCTCTGTGGCAATCTCACCTTCCCCCAAAAAAGAATTCTATTATCTCACAAGTCTTCAATCTGGGCAGAGCTGGCGGGGGGCTTATGTCTGCTCTAGAAGCATCAGTGGGGGCAGCCGCCTGGCTGGGACAAGACAATGAGCTTCCAAGGTGACTCGCTCACATGGCTACAGGTTGCTACTGGGGTACACTGGTCATCAGCTTTGAGTTTAGCCAGAGCCAAAGGCCAGGAGCTTCAGGTCCTCTCCACAGGGGCCTCACCACCTGTCCTGCAGAAGTGCCCTGGTTAGAGCATCCGCCCTCGTACTGAAGGAGGCAACCAATGGACATGTCTTTCTCACATTGATGTTTCTCTCTCCTCCTCCCTCCTTTCCATTCTCTATAAAAATCAATGGAAAAAATATCCTCAGGTGAGAATTAACAAAAAAGAAACAAAAAGAAGTGCCCCAAGGGAAAAAGTGGGATGGAAAGCTGCCTTCTATGTCCCAACCTCGGAAATCACATGGCTTCCTTTCCGAGACAGTCTGTTGAGGAAATTCCCAAAGGCCAGGAGCATGGACTCCTTCCTCTAGAGAGGGTATGGCAAGGTTCAGGACTACCTTGTAGGACAAGAAATATGATCCTTTTGGGAAAAGACAATTCAGTACAGGCCAGGTTTCAGGAGGATCATCTAAGAGGATATTGGAATTACTAAGAACATGACAGTCTGATATCTTCCATGACAGAATGGGAGAGGCCAGAAGGGGAAGGAGAGTTCATTAGGGAAGGGACGGAAGAGGGGGTCCATGGACAGCTTGAGCTTCAAAGGAGCTAGGGAGGGAGAACTGTCTGGAAGCGGCAAGGAGGCGCACACACCTCCGAGCTCAGTGGTAGGTGGGTGTAAGAGTCAGGGCTGTAGTGGGGAGGCAGGGTCGGTTCACAAAGAGAGTTGAGATTCTTGTAGAGGGCTCTCTTTGTCGTCTCAGAGAATGAGAGAAAAGAGGAGACAGAGAAGAAAGGAGACAGAGACCAGAGAGAAGGGGAGAGAAAACACCAGAGAGATGGGGGGACAGAGACCCAGAGACAAGGAGGGTCAAAGATCATGAAAGAGAGGTATAGATATAGGGAGACGGAGGAGAGAGACCCAGAGAAGAAGACAGAAATCCAGAGAGATGGCGACATAGCATCGAAAGAAATTGTAGACGGGAAGATACAGTGCAGCAATTGGCAGGGACTAACCACCTTTACAGCTCCCCGCTCGCCCAGCAGAGGGCGCCCGAGACCGCATTCCCAGGTGTCCAGGTGACTGATCCTCCCCGCCCCCCAAGCCCAACCGATGGGGCTATTTTTACGCGATGTCATAGGACACCCGTGGCTGGAAGGCCATCGTCTGTCTGTCCTTCGGTCCCTTCGAGTGACCCTGTGGCATCTCCCCAGCCCACCCCCACCTGTTCCTAGCAGGCCCTGCTGCCTTCGGCATTATTCAGGGCTCGCTGGGTCTCAGCATATCTGGTAGAAAACCCAGGTGGGAGACCCCAGGAGAGACCCTAGCGAGGGGACCGCAGTGAGGGGCTCACATGCTCATGGTTTGCAGCTGCTGGAGAGTTCCCAGGACCAGGGAACCACCACGAGGACAGTGGCGGAGCTGAGGGAAGAGTGATGGTCAGAGAGATTCAGAGGGTGACTCCTGAGCCTCTGAGTCCTCCAGAGGCCCCGAGACAGACACTCGCAGTAATTCAGGGAAAGAAAGAGACTCAAAGGGGCACCCCAGAGAAACCCAGGGACAGAGACACAGAGGGCTAAGAGATAATAAGAAGAGACCCACAAAGATAAGAAGCAGAGAGATCCCAACAGAGGGGAGAGACAGAGACCAAGAGAGACAGATAAACAGAGACAGACCCTGGAGAAACAGGAGTCAAAACAAAGACATAGACCAGAGACACTAAGACACAGAATGGCAAAACTCAGAGAGAACTGCCCCATAAAGACACTCAGAGACACATCCCTGACAGAGACCCAAGTCAAAGGCAAAGCCAGACACAGAGACACACAAGAGAGCGAGAGAAAGAACGAGGCGGAAATTTATGACTTGAACAGAGGGGCTCATATACTCATCTTTTTAAAAAAGAGAGGAGGGAAAAATCCGGAAACCCGGAAAGACACAGGACAGATACCCTGGGCTATGGAAAGACAGAGGGAAAGGGGATCGGAAAGCGGAATAGACGTGGAGAAAGGGCAGCTAGGTGGTGGCTGGGGGGAAGGGCGGGCGCCCCGGCAGAGGGCGCGCGGGTACCCTCTGCCCCGCTGGGGTCACGGCGCCCCCTCCCCCGCGCCCTGGCCGGAGGGCCGGGCTATTTTTACGCGTGGACATCGGACACCAGGCT